ACCCCAGTTTTTTTTTTTGTTTTGTTTTGTTTTGTTTCGTTTTTCTCCGGTACCAGGAACCGAACTCACGACCTTGCGCTTGCCAGGCAGGCGCTTTGCCGCTGAGCTAAATCCCCAGCCTCTCCCCCACCCCAGTTTTAAGGGCTGGGCATGGTGGTAGTCCCTGATACTCAGGAGGTGAAACAGGAGGATCACCTCAGCCCAAGCTCAAGACTAGCCTGGGCCACGTAGCAAGATCCTGTCTCAAAAAAAAAAAATTACAATATTTGTAAGCCTCCTGCAAGTCCCCACTGCCCACAGAATACGATCTAACCCTACAGTGGATACAAGCTCCCCAGTACATCTCACCCCGGCAGTCAGCCATGTTCAGTGTTCCCCCAGGCAGGCCCAGTGTCTCGTGTCCCCACCTGCACTCACGCATGCAGCAGTCTCTCCCTGAGCACCAAATGCCACTTGTGTCCATGGCCAGTGTCTTTTTCCTACGGCCTTGGCACCAGAATCCCCAAGACACCTGAGAAATCTGGCAGGTTCCACGTTCCCCCACAGGAACGCAGCATGGGTAGGCACGCTGCCGCATGCATTCAGAAGACACTTCCAGCTCCTTGACGCTGGTAGACATGTTTGTCGTTTTGTTTTTTTGGAGACAGGGTCTCAAGTGCAATTCAGGATGGCCTTGAGCTCTCCATGATCCTCCTGCCTCAGCCTCCCAAATGCTGGGATTACAGGCATGTACCACCATACCCGGCTAGTTTTTAACCTCTCTGGGCCTCAGTTTCCTCATCTGTGAAATGGGTGGCTGTGAGGATGAAAGGAGAGTACTCCTTAGTGTTTATCAAAGTACCTAGGTAGGACAAGATCCAAACGATGCCAGCTCTGGCTACTCCAGAACCCCGCTGTGGGCAGGTTAGGAAGAAACACGCTGCATGCCAGGCAGCACAAACCCAGTGCTTAGCTGCCATGGCTCTCCTAAAGGCCTAGGTTGGTGGTGGGGACACAGCAGCAGGGGCGGGGCTTTCGATGGACCTGAAGGGTGAGCGGCCAAGAGGCAGAGAGGTGGGCAGCGCTGTGGGTGTGCGGGCCAGAGCAGAAGGCGGGGGAGGCTGCTTGCGTAGGCGGGCAGGTTCGGTGACCGAATGGAAAGGAGCGGGCACCGGTTTGGGGCTCGGTCTTTCGTGGCCGTTAGGAATGGCCAAGAAAAGCCCCCGAGCGCATCCTACTGGAGGCTGCTAACCGCTCACGCTCCACACAGCGTATCCGGGGCACGCACTTCACCAGGTCCGGCTCATCTCATCCGCTGAGCGACCCCGCGGCACAGGGGCTGTCACTACCACCCATGTTAGAAAGGAGGCACACAGAGGGGCGGCAACTTGCCCAAGGTCGCAAAGTTCGAGTAGCAGCCACTGCCCGAGCCCGAGCGCTCCGGCTGCAGGGCAGCCCGTGCCGTCACCGCGGGCTCCGGCTTCTGCAGCTCTGTCACTCTGGGCCTGTGGAGGGGCAGGCCACTGCCACCGCCACACGGGACCCAGCCAGGCCTTCAGGGCGTGGGTAAGGGGTCCAGGGCTGGGGTCACAATCCGCCTCCGTAGGCGGGGCCCAAATCCCCGGGTGCAGAGCACGCGGGTGCAGGGTGCTCCCCGGCATCCACCTCGGTGCCCAGTGCGGGAGCTTGAGCGCGTTCGGAGCCGTGGGAAGCCGCACCGAGGCCTGGGCCCCGCGGTGCGTCACCGAGTCGCCACGTGCCTGCAAAGGGCAAGGGCGTGGCCAGCTCCAGCCAGCGCCCTGCGGCCGCACACCCAGCGGCGTGGCCCCGAGCGCCCCGAGCGCGGATGCCCTCCCGCGGGGAGGGAG